TTCCCCCCTCCCCCCCCTCCTTTCCTCTTCCTCCCCTCCCCTTGGTTGCAGCCTCTTTGTGAGGCGTGTCTGCAAAGTCTAGGTGCTGCGAACCTCCCCTCCCCTCCTCTCCCTCCCCTGCCCTCGCCTCTGCCTCCCTCCCCCTCCGAAAAAAAAGTATAGATGTGCCGCAGTTCGTACTAGTAGTCATCATTTTACAGCTCGCTGAAATAGCACTAATAGTTCTAGCAACAGTCCTAGTGGTAGTACTACTACTAGTAATGGTGATAGTAGTATTACTTGTAGTAATAACATTCCTCGTAGTAATAGTAATAGTAGTAGTGGTAGTAGTAGTAGAAGTAGTAGTAGTAGTAGCAGTAGTAGTAGTAGTAGTAGTAGTAGTACTAGAATAGTAGTAGTAGTAGTAGTAGTAGTTGTTGTTGTTGTAGTTGTTGTTGTTGTTGTAGTTGTAGTAGTTGTAGTAGCAGTACTAGTAATGGTAGTATACCGACTAGTACCCGTAGCAGTACTACATGTGTTGAATAGTAGTGGTAGTAGTAGTAGTAGTAGTAGAAGTAGAAGTAGTAGTAGTAGTAGTAGTAGTAGTAATGGTAGTCATGGTCGTATACCTGCTAGTACTCGTAGCAGTACTAAATGTGTCGAATAGTACTGGTCCCACCCCCCCTCAGAAAAAAAAAGGAAGTAGTGGATGTGCCGTTGCCGGTACTCGTCAATATTGTAATGATAGCAACACTAATAAGGTACTTGAGCGGTATCAACAATAGTGTGTAGTAGTAGTAGTAGTAGTAGTAGTAGTAGTAGTAGTAGTAGTGGTAGTAGTAGTAGTAGCAGTAGTAGTATTAGTAGTAGTACTAGTAGTACTAATAGTAATGTAATAGAGTAGTACTAGTCGTCGTCGTAGTAGAAGAAGAAGTAGTAGTAGTAGTAGTACCCCAGCAAAGTAGTGGTGGACGCCCCTACCCCCCGGTCCCACAAAAAAACCCTTCGCGTGCAGCCTCTGGTGTTCTCTATGCATGCGACTACCTTTCTTTGCTGGAATTGAACGCATGGGGCTTCTATGGCCGACTCACCACTGGGAAGGCTTCCTGCGACGCAAGCTCGCAAGCGATAAGTCGTTGACCTTGCATCATTTTGTCGCCCGATTGGCTTGGGTACAGCATGATGTCTTTGGAGACGGGTTGACACTGCCACTTGTTGCAGCTCCCACATGCGAGTTGTCGAAAGCCAGGGGCCCTAATTGAACGTTTTGCGATCTATGGGTTGTTTGGGTTTACCTTTACGCAAAACTGAATAATTTCCGAGGCCTAGTCAGCAAAGCCCTGCACTTTTGAACCTGTTGATAAACAAAGCAGCTTCAAGCCCAAATGCCCAGCCAGCAACACACTGCTAGAGCCGGATCACTCCTGCGCCGCATGCATGACTTGGAACCTTGGATGGATTCTTTGTTTGCACCTGGACATGATTAAACTGGAGTTTTCACCAATGCACGAGCGCGTCGTGTGGCACAGATGCCCTGTCCATAAAACCCAAACATTCTGCCGACGATCATGACCGCGATGATGATGATGATGCTGGTGGTGATGGTGGTGGCCGAGGCGATGTTTCAGATCACAGTGGTTTCTAAAAGTCGCTGTTCTGGTGGCGTTGGTGATGTGTTGATGGTGATGTTGCTTGTTGTAGTGATTCGGCGTTCCCGATAATAGTCGTCGTCATCATCAACGCTGGTTGCTTGCGAGGGGTCCTGGCCAACATGAAATCTAGTCTTTAGGAGAGCCATCAGATTTGAGCATCTGGAGTTTCGGCAGCATGGTGCCCTTGGCTCCGGTAGTTCAGACCATTTGATCATCCTACCGTAATACGTGTAAGGCCCGGTACGTTTCCAAGGAAGGATCTGTTAGAAATTTGGGAGGGGTCAGTGAGGCTATCGACGTGTCCAAGATCATTCACGACCAGAGACTTGTTTTCATCAGTGCCTTGCAGTTGCGCCAATGCTTATTTTCTTTAGAGCTATTCGTTAAACGTCTTGGCTGCATGTAACCCTGCATGATTAAAAGGCTGAGTAGGCCAACATGGAACCTGATTTCTTCAGCATAGGGCAACCCAGAGGCTGAATCCTGATCCCAAATACAGAATCTGTTTTCAAACCCTTGAAACGAAAGGATAATTGAGGGGAGCGACAGTTCATGCTGGAGACTGGACATGGGGGTTTCAGACAAGAGCCGCGAGTCTGCCTAAGTCCTCATAATGACGATCTTGCTCTGTATGGTGTATAGTAAGGCCAGAAAGGCCCCATTGTTCTGGTATGCAGAAGCTATTTAGATCATGCTCGGGCCCCCACATCTGCTGACATTCCAAAAATCGCCTGCTTGTTGAAGGATCCGGAAGCAAGACGCCCCAGTACAAAAAGACCCCTTGAAGGATCCCAGACCAAATAGAACCCGAAAACAGTCTCCTGGTTTAGCATTTTTCTCGATCCCCCCACAACCTGGAAGGACCTCAGCGCTCCTCACTTGATGCCATACTAAAGCGACTTGATAATAGGCTTGTGTGTAGAAACTGCAGTATGCTCTTGGCCCTTGGTCTAGGTGTAGGACTCTAAAGCCCTAACGCCGGCTTGCCCGGACGTGTCCACGGTAATGTAGACCCTGACCATTCCCTTCAACAGCGGCGGTGTATTCATCAGGGGCCTACATAATCCCACGCCCGAAACCCCATTGCTCTTTCACTGGAGACTTTTTTCTTTAGTGGGCATGATTTCTTACTTTTGCGGGCCGTCATTCCTGCACACTTAACTCTGCTTGGGCTGCATCGAAGGACATGGCTCATCAAGACTCAAGGGAAGCCCCTTGGTGACAAAGGTAATGGTAGGTGGTAGTACTGGATTCGGCATCCATTATGAGAACAGGCACCTTCAAATCAAGAAGTCCAACAAGAACAGGATTTGCTGTTGGACACTTTGCTGCCAACTCACGAAAACACCGAACGCAACCCCCATGCCGCTTGTCAGTAGCATTCTTATGAGAAAAGCTGCCTTTCTGATTCTTCCTACGCTCGGAAAGACATTCTGAACCTGCAGAGTCACACGTTTGGCCTTAGAATTTTAGATTTAGGGTTTCGCTCTGCACCTACCGGCAACGCCCTGTAAGGTTTGAGACAAATCAACGTGTGTCCACCTAGAGGCACTGCCATGACTTGAACGAAGTTTGTGTTGTTCTACAGTAGTGATCATCTGCAGGACTTCGTAGTAGCTTCAACCCCAAAGCATAAACCCCAGGAAGTTGGTGAAGTCAAATGAGAATAGGCATTCAAAGGCCGTCAACTTTCGGGTTTGGAAGCTTCAGGCACGGCAAACACAAACTAGCAGTGATAGCAGTCAAAAGTATTGATTGAACTGGTGGTAGTCGTCGTCGTCGCAGCTGCTGCTGCTGCTGCAGCAGTAGTAGTAGTAGTAGTAGTAGTAGTATTAGTAGTACCAGAAGTAGTAGTAGTAGTAGTAGTAGTAGTAGTAGTCGTCGTCGTAGTGGTAGTAGTAGTAGTAGTAGTAGTAGTAGTAGTACTAGAATAGTAGTAGTAGTAATAGTAGTAGTAGTAGTAGTAGTAGCAGCAGCAGTAGTAGTAGTAGCCCCCCCCTACCAACTACACTTGCTCTAAACCATCTTAAGAGCATATCCGTTTTACTCGGTATTTACAGCACTTTCGTCATGTACGATCATCATAAGAAGTTTGCAAACTCGGCCTCTTGATTTTGGACTTGCTTCTGGGGGGGTGGGGGGTGGGGGGTGGGGGGCGATGATGACGACCGTGTCGCACAAACACAACCAACAAACCACATGAGCCGTTTTACTAGGTATTTGCAGTACTTTCGTGATGTCGGACTTTCTTATATAGTCGCCACCCCTACTTCTCGACTGTCGTCTTAAACTTTGGTGTTTCGCACGGCTTGGAGCAAAAACTCCAATTTGGGCGGGGGAAAGCTTTTTTCGGTGATGATCACGATACTGTTTTGCGGACACCCCGAACTATGTCTCCACACCCTAGGGCGCACACAGTACACAGTACGTCAAAAGACCTCTTACACCGAGGTCGGGGCTTTAGGGGTGTTGGCGAGCTCCTCCCACGTACAGCTGGCATCTTTGTTTTTGATGTTTGTAAGATGTTGCGCTTCCGGTTTTAAGAGTGTTAAAGCGTTCTTGGCAGCACTTGCGTGTTGCACGCTATTTGCAGCGTCGTCGTACTATCCGACCTTTGAGCTATTTCTTCCCAGTCCAATTTGCAACTCCATTTGCTGTCGCATTTTTGGGGCCTGGTCCTCTGCAACTTCACCGGCTGTGACACTTAACCATGGCCCAACATGATGACGTCCATGGTCTAACCCGCTCTGAGAAGAGAGCATCCATGTCCATGGCCCAACCACGATGACGTCCATGGTCTAATCCGTTCTGAGAAGACGGCATCCATGGCCCAAACATGATGACGTCCATGGTCTGATCCGTTCGGAGAGCGGAGCATCCATGGCCCAACCATGATGACTTACATGTTCTAATCGGTTCTCGCACGCAGGCCAAGCGTTTTTCCAAGATGTGTGTTGAGCGGTTTCCTTTGCAAAAACGAGGCAAAACGCATGCTCCAACATGCCGTACGGCCGTGCGCAACGTACGTTGCCGTCATGACCGTGCGGCATTTACGAAGGGCAATAATAGCAACAGCCGCAGGAGTAGCAGTAGTAGTAGCAGGAGCAGAAGCATCAGTGGTACTAGGTAGGAGTAGAAATAGGAAGGAGTCGTAGTACGAGTAGTCGTAGCACGAGTAGTCGTAGTACGAGTAGTCGTAGTAGCAGTAGCAGTAGTAGTAGTAGTAGTAGTAGCAGCACAATTCAAGATCTGCTATCGTGGTCAGTCACGGCCTGAGTGTTGCAATTCTTGCTTCCATGAGGCACGTTGTTGCCTCATTGTTGTGGCCAGCTCTTAAACCTTCAGGCTTAGCCCCTTTGAACTGCCCTGGCCCCACAAAACCCCGATTCCCCAAAACCAATACCCCAACCCTAAACCGGCCGCCGAAACCAAAACCCACACCCCGATATTTCAGGTTTCAGACATACGTGGAGGAGCAGATGGCCGGGATCCAGGAGGAGATCGGCGGCCTGCGCCGGGTTTTGAAACAGCGCCCCGGTGATGGAAGCAACACACGGCGGGGAGCGGGCGGGGAGGTGGTTCAGACTAAATGGAGAGTCCATGGTAAGTATTTGGGTCCCGTCTTTTCCTGACATTCCTAATCATGAGAATGGTAGCATGGATAGTGCCCGTATGGCTTGAAGCTTCGGCTTGGAGCTCTGAGGTTGCATGCGTATCTGAAGCAGACCATGGCTGCGAAGAATGCCTAGGGCTCTCTCACATGGCATGTCGGGCCCTCCAAGCCGGCTCAGTTCTCAAGCCGTCAGTTTGAACAAGTTCAGCTGCCTGCCCCCGGAAGCTTTGCAAATGCACCGTGACATTCTGACACTCCCAACTTTCAAGCGTGATGCTTTGCCTTGCACCTCTGCATCCCAGGGCCAGCCGCAGCGTCAGCGGTTCCTTTACTTCGCCATCCTTGGGCGCTGTGAGCACCACTCCCTGATGGCTGCTTGGGTAGCCATCGGCCATACCAAGGGCTTCGGCCCTTCCGTGCTTAGTCTACGGCCCGAGGCCCGGGCATTGGAAAAATTCTAAACCCTAAACCCTATACCCTAAACGAGTCTGTACTTTGCGCTCCTACTCTCGTGAGGTCACCCAAGAAAGACCCTGTGTTTCTCTGGGGCGTTAAGCACCCCCAAAAGGCATAGCCTTCGAGCTTGCGGTGGAATTTTTGGACCATTTGATGGAGTTTCTTTACACACCCATAGTGCCGTAGTAAGACAGAATCTCGAAGCAATTCATGTAGAACTTGGAAGCACAGAAACCCAGCTTAGGGGATCGTGGGACTTGATAAGCAGGTTAGACTGCGGACTACCACAGGCAAGCCGAGTTCTGAACAACCCTGACATGTCTATGTTTTCTAATTCTAGCACCTGGAGTTCCATCTCCGCCAAAGAAGCGAAAAGCTGGGTTTAGTGTTTAGAGTTCTTCAAATGAAATTCTTGGGCAATTGAAATCGCAGCTGTATTCATCAACCTGCTGAAGAGTTATTGGCTTCGGTTCTCGGAAGTGTTGGGCAGGTTCACGCATGTTCGAGTTGTCTTTGCAAACCGGTAAAAGCTGCTTTGGCTCCTGGGTAAACGTATCCTTCTATCAAACCCCGTCTAAACCTCTTCTAATTCTTTAGGCCCCTAGATTAAACCCTAAACCCCAAACCCAAAGCCCTACTTATAGTATCCCTTATAGAACCCTTTAAAGGAGCCCCCAAAAACCTATTCGAATTATTAAGGCCCCTAAGCCCTAAACCATTATAGTATCCCTTTTGGGGGCCCTTCAAGGAACCCTTTAAAGGCTCCTGCTTAGCTTAGTTTCCTTGACTCTGGGCCTTGGCTAACAGCTGCAGGGACCAGCCCAGGAGATGGAGTATGGAGATTTCCGATGGTTTAGGGTTTAGGGTTTAGGGTTTAGGCATCAGAAAATAAGATACCGCCAAGAAGAGATGTTGCAATTCAGGGTTTAGGTTGGTCTTGGTATTTATTGTTCTGCAAGTCCTTTGACAGCTGTACGCTCTTTTCAGATAAAGACTTTCGCACAATGGAAGACAACATACCTCATTCAATTGTTGTGGGGACGCACACTGTAAACTTTGACCCCAAATCTTGAACCGGGAATGCGGCTCATATCTTGACTATGAACGAGCAAAGGATACTGGACACTTACAAGACAACAGGACAAGCAACCCTAAACCCTAAAGCGACAACCATGACACTAACCGCCACAACGATGATTGCGAGTGTGACGGCACCGATCAAACCAGGAGATGGTACTGCTATGTATGACCGTCAGCACATGAACACAGACATACAGGTAGATGGAGAGATAAATACATAGATAGATATGTGTTTATATACATGTACACAGCATCATGTGCATACGTGTGCTATATATGTATGTGTATGTATGGGTTTAATTGTGTGTAACTGTATGTATGGGTATTGGATATGTAAACAATAAGCATGCAAACACACTTACATACATACATACATACATACATACATACGTACGTACGTACATACATACATACTTACATACATAAATACATACATACACACATATGTATGTGTATGTGCATATATATATATATATATATATGCGCCTTCATCAAGAAAGGGTGGTCCCGCGGTTTCTTTATCAATACTTCGTGCGGCAATCCCGCGCAGTGCTGTCGACGTCAAGGAGGCCCAGGATGTTCTTGGTATTTTCTGTAGTTTGGGGTTTGGGGTTTAGGGTTTGGGTGTTTTGTGTAGTTTGGGGTCATTGCTGTTGTTGTTGGCATTCGGACTGTTGACTGTTGCCAGTATCCAGCAGGCACCAACTGAATGGCGGTTCCTGATCTTCTTGTCCTCAGGGAAGCACTCTGACTGTCATACTCGCAATATCCCGCCATGTCACTTGCAATGCCAATTGGCTTCTACCAGTTTGTAGTACAAAGATAAGAAAGGGCCTTGGTGAGTTCAGAACTTCTGAGCTTAGTTGATTTCATCCGGAAGTTGCTACAATTTGCCTGGTTTCTGTCTGTGTTGGTGAGGCGATTTGCCAGAACAACATTGTGTGTTGAGCCTCTCCATCTGAAATCCGCCTTCCATCCCCCAGGAAGTTGAAGATGGGTATTCTTGATTCGTTCTGTTGTCCTGTCCCTTCAGCCACTCGTTGGAGTGTAGCAACAGGCTCTGCTTGCTACGTCAACGAACCGTAGCTTTCTTACAGAGATCCTGACATTATAGAGCCCTTCACAGGACGAACCCGCAGTGCAACCCCATCGTTCAGTTTTCTCGTTCGCGATGACCTTGGGCTGAATTTCATGGCCCCCCAAAGTGACATAACCGGGCCAAGCCCCTTAGCACTGCTGCTTGAGATTACTACCTGCCTGTACGGCCAGCAGAGGTGGCGATTCTCCACTTTGTTGCTGCCGGAGCGGTACATCCCCCAAGAGTAACTGCCATAGTGGTAGCTGGTAGCGGTGTCCTTCTTGTTGCGGTTGTGGCTATTGTAGTTGTGGTCGTACAACAGCAGCAGCAGCCGTGACAGTCCTGGTTCTTATACACCATCTGTAACTGTTACCTCCGGGGCGCCGGGGGGCATCAGGGTGAAGGAAAGCCTCCATGATGTCAGACAGCGACCGGAGCAGACATTGAAGCGGTGCTAGGGCGTTGTAAGAACGTGAGGCACACTACGGAGGCCTGAATACTTGTTTTGTTTTGCACGAGTAAGAGGAGCCGAGCAAGAACCCGCGGGGAAATATTTGGGCTCCCAAACTTACGTTCCGCTGCGGGCTGTGGTTCAGTTGCAGCTACGTGGTTCCTGCGGTTGTCCTGCGGCAGCCCAGCTGATGGTAATGTATCTGAACAGTCTCATCACCGAAGGTCAGCGGTACAACTCTACCGCTCATTTACTCCAGGGGCCTGAATATTTAGAATGTGGCTTTTACAGAGCGTAGTCTGTACTACGTGGGTACACGTCATTACCGAGATTCCCAACAGGTCTGGTCATGCTTGCAGGCCATGCGAGCCTCACAGCCCCAGATTGAATCGTCCAAGGTTCTGTATAGTAGTTTGCACGAGGCAGACGCAATGCGCAAAAGGCCCTTAACGGACAGCGAAGAAGCCGTGCTTGACAGTTAGACTTGCTTAAACCGGAATGAGAATGCAAGGCTGCATCAGGAAGATGTTTGCATGCGGTCAGTGTCAGCGAGCACCTGATTGCATCCGCGATTCCATAGCAAGAGCATCCATGCTATGACCGCTATCGGATCTGCTTGCAACTCTCCTATCAGAGACGCTGTGGGTGGCGGTGGGCCGACACGCCACAACTTCAATCACTGCACAGGCGGCCACTGAGTGTGTCAATCCTTGACCCAGTACAGTCTAAGGCCCCGAACCTTACACCCTCAGCCCAAGAACCCGAAGCCATCGACCAGTTCCTCAGTTGCCATCAGATCTTCTGGGCTATCGAGTCGGCGCCGCCACACGCACACAAGCGCATGAGTTGGATAAGTCCCCTCCGTCTTGGGCGCACCACGCATGCACTTTGCTGGTGACGGGCTTTCATGGTAGATGTGAATAGTAGCCAGGTTGGTGAACTCCGGCCAACAAAGGCAAACAACCTCCGTCGCCAAAGAAGGCTTTGAGCTTGTGACTTTGCACCTCCCTGCTAAAACCACGACATAGGCAGAGGCTTTGTGCTTTGAGTGCCTCTCTACTTTGGCAGAAGGTTTATTCGCCCGAACCTCCCTGTCATTCCGGACATCGTCGCGGCACAAAGCCCAGGACGTTTTTTCCTGTCCTGCGCACAAAGAAATACCAAAGCTTTCCGCACCATGAGAGTTCAGAAGCAGACCCTAAGTAGGACCTAATATAGGGGCATTAACCATTACATATACTATTTTGGGGGGGATCCTTATTATAGTTAAAGTATGATATACCCCAAAGCCCTGTTCTAATCATTAGGCGCCTACATTAACCCCATGTTACTTTGGCGTTGGAAGCGCTTTGCCCTGCAGGGTTCTGGCGTTTGAAACCTGGAATGTCCTAGGATTGCCAGACGGCACCCAGGGACATGAATTTTTCTTCGATAAGGCCATGCCTTGTGGACAGGTTTAGGGTTGAGGGTGTAGGGTTTAGAGTGCTTTCGGTTCCATGGTCTTGGGTTGGCAATCGTGAACCCTAGAGTCCTAGAGGGCTTGCTCTGCCTGAACCCCAAGCCCATGAGACACGGCCGCTTTTGCGGGCACCTGCCAAGCACGCTGTCGGCACAAAACGATTGTTTTTACGGCCCCTCATGGGATTTTCGACATCCACGGTTCCCGGCAAGAACCTGTGGTCCAAGATGTTCCCGCGTGCCTCTGCGGTTAGCTGCCTGCCAACGCCGCGCAAACCGCGCAGAAAGTGTCTGAGCAATTGCAGCTGTATCATGTGGGTGGTTGTCAAAATTATGGTCCCTTTTTGGGTCCTTATTATAATACGGCACCTATTATTTAGGGTACCCCAAAAGGGACCCTAATTTTGACAACTACCCATGTGCAGGGTTCTGGCCTTGAACCGTCGGACCCTTATGATCAGAATCCCTAGAAGCTCCCCACCGACCCTGAGTTCTTGAAAAGACCCCCGTAATGCTTTTCCCGAACCGCTGCTCGCCTAAAATCTTGAAAGCCTAGCCATGAAACAGCTGTGACCTTCTGAAGCCTACAGAAAGCTGGGGGTGTGGGCTTGAAAGCAGCCTAGGCTTGGATTTAGATGGGATCCCTGGTCCTGTCAAGCTCCCTCTTTATGGGAACCGCAAAGCTACAACACAAGGAGGGCATTGTCCCACGGGTAGTTAGTTCCAATTTAGGGTCCCTTTTGAGGTCCCCAATATAGTACGGCACCCTTATATCAAGGACCCCTCAAAAAGGATCCTCAAAATAGAGAACTACCCTTACAGCCGATTCAGCGCATCCTTACATCT